AATTTTGTCTTTCAATATAATATGTGTTGGAGGAAGAAGTCTGCTAGAATAGGATTTTTTCGCCCGACTGGATCAAAAAGCACCAGTATCACTGGCGACAGCCGGATGCTACAATATATACAGATGATTAGAGAATCTATAGACGCCTATATTTACTTGGGTATGTACATTTTGTCGTTATCCATAAGTGACATTTGGTGGACCCAACAACCGGAATGCACACAAACAATATTGGAGCTATATGGTCGAGGCTGAAAGAGTTTTTGAGACTTAATCATGGCTCCAGAGGCCGACTATTCTGTAGCCGTATGGATGATTTCCTCTACTACATGCATTACGATCTTAGAACCTCTGAACCTCTTCCTAACCTTTACAAGTTTTTGAATCATGTAAATGAAATGTGTCCACTTTAATTCTTTGGTTCTATATAATGTATTTTTGCCGTACACTAGCCGTTTTCTGATTGGCTAATATTTCTCAAGGTCACTTAGGACTCGTTCGAAGGTTGTCCATAAATTATAGTCTCACAATGTTACTTTATCTAGACCATAGAATTTTATTCAGAAAGAAGTGTTGTTGTCACTGATTTCAGTCAATGTTTTCAGTATAAAATTGAAAAGTAAACAAACTCTTATTTTAGGATAATATCAGGTATAAGTACGTGATGTAAGAACTTTAGATCCAAACACTTTATTGAGTCCTGATACAGTCCTGATAGAACTATCAATTACAATCAAGATGATCAGTATGTATGAAAAAAACTTAATAGTTACTACTCTGGTGATATCTAACATGACAGTAACTAATTCCATATATTAAAATGTTAGTTTTATTAGAAACCAGTATCGACTGGATTGTTTCAACAATTTATTGGTAAAATATATTGTAAATCATTAATATTAACGAATTAAATATTTATCCATAGGTAAACTACACAATGAGCTAATGATTAACTCATGGTTATAAATTAAGAATGACTTTTATGTTAAAAAAGAATAACTGAATTAATCGTAAAATGAAATTATGATTTTACTTACATTTACACTACGAAATAATGTATTCATAAATTACATAGTGGTAACAATCAAACAGTCATGATAGAAACAGTCTCACGATACATAAGAGTAGAAAAATGTTGACTTCTTTGAATGTTTATCTATAGAAAATTTTGATCAACTTCAATCATGCATTGCTTTATATCTATCGAAAAAAGTAAATAAAACTTAATGACTACTCATTTTTTTCATTTAACTAGTTTATATTAGACCTAAGATATCAGTACAGAAAGTGACGTTTTAGTAAACACTTCACCAACAGGAATTATATGTATGAGTTTGATTATTATAAAAAGTGAGCAATAGCTTTCAAAAGTGACAGGTATCAAGTTCTTGTTTTAAGGTAAGGGTTTACATTTTATCTTTCTTCATTACTCGCTTTTACTTGAAACTAACAAGAACAAAAGAAATCAAGAGGTCTGTTTTATAATTAAATATTTCACATTTTAAAATCTAAACCCAGTGTGTATTATAATTAGGTATAAACACATTTTATAAGTGCTTATAGGTCTTAAATTCTCAGGCTACCGAATACCTTCTTGGATGATACTTATTTTTAAAATATTTTTATAAAATGTAAAACAAAAAAGTGTATGTAGACTTTTCCGGATTTTTCAGTAATAATGCACATTTATAGATAGTGAATAAAATAATAGATAGGTCATAATTAACGTTCAGAAACTTAAACACACTATTAAACAATATGTGTGTTCAATTCTAAGATAAAGAAGCTATAAAACAAATTCTAAAAGTATTTTAGATATCAATAAAATTATTCATTATACTGATCTAATACAGGCTTAAAGTAACTGAGTCAGTAAAAGGGATTATTTAATAAAAGATTTATTTATTTAAAGATTTATTTTTATCTTAGCTTTAATCTTCTAATCATTGTGAATCCCCAATCTGTTTGATCTCGACAAATTGGAACGTAAGGTGATAATTTTGAAAAACAGATTGGAGATTTTGATATGTGAAGCGACTGTAACCTTAACTTCTGTACGTTTTCAAATGTTACGCTATATCAAGCACTGATATTTTACTCCAAAATACACTTGTTTATGAATATGAATCTCTGAAGGTCGATTATGCTAACTGGCAAGACGTTTTAAATGAATTAAAATAGCTAGTTACTCTGTTATTATTGGTCTGTTATCTGATTTCAAGGTTTAGTATGAACCATATGAAATAACATGTAAACGTATATGGCAAGATCAGTATTAAATCAATTATCTCATATGACTTGAATGTTTATGTACATGTGATTTTATAAAAATAAAGTGAGACAACACAGCCACTGAAAGATAGATTAGATATAAGAGTAAGACATTCTTTATTGAAATACGTAATTAAATTATAGGAATCTATGCATACAGATCAGAAAAACTACCCGTGATAAGTGTACTTTACAAAATGTACTTAACAGATTTCATTATTAAAACCTGAAATTAACATATAAGTAGGTTATTTGTACAACTAGACTATATATTAATTCAGTGAACTATCTAACGAAGTAAAGATTTCCTAGATGAAGATAAAGTAATTCTGCTTGACATGTCAACTTGGTGTAGATGAAAAGTAATTTTTTGATTGTGAAATTTTATACAATACTTTTAAATAATAAAATCGTACTCACTGTTAACACCAAAGGTAGAAGGAATATATCAACTACCATAAACTCAGGTACTGATTGTTTGTTTGCATATGCAACCAGTCATAAACAATGTAGAACATTAGAGACCTGCGTATTGATAAAAAACGTTTTTTCATAGTTATAACTCAGTAAAATTTCCTGATAGAAGGATAAATAACAACTAGACTTACACGAGGACTAGATGAATATATCACTGTTTACTACTTACTTAAAATTTCATTTACAAAAAGTAATATTTCGTTTACTTTACTCTTGTGTTCACGAAATGATGATAATGTTAATGCTCACTAACTTTGATTTATTAGAGTTTTGAAAGGATTTTAAATGATATTAAAATCAGTAAGTCGATTATGTGTTTTCATTGAATAGATTTATTGATACAAGACTCTGATAATGAAGACAGTTAAACCCAACATTACTTATTTCAAATTTGTGTTACTAGTTAAGTGTTTAAATTGAACTAATCATTTTGTTTAATACATGTTGATCAATAACAAAAGTAATATGTTTGTAATATAACAATCAGTAGAAAAATTTAGTTACAAATTTACTGATATTTGTTATTAACAATCTACCCCTTGTTTAATTTATTTTAAATTATCAGTTCGAACGTTGGTAATGATGCGCACATGTTTGTGATGTCAACATTCGTATTTGGAATTAAAAATAATTAAAGACAAATTCTACAAGAACTTACGTCTAAATTTGAACGAATGGTTTCACAATATTTTAGCGCTGAGTTAATGTGAGACATTATAGAGGAAAAATGTATTTGTAAAATCTCAGCGAATGAATTCGTAGTAAATCCAACGTTTCGCCTGGCAATCTGGTTTAAGCTTTTTTAAGAACCAGATTGCCAGGCGAAACATTGGATTTACTACGAATTCATTCGCTGAGATTTTACAAAACATTCTTCCTCATTAAAGATAAATTCTGTTTCAGTCAAGGTTTAGTCATGACTGTACAGTCAACAATGATATAATAACTAATATAATGATGATTGGTAACTTAACATACATTTTAAGCAGAATTATGTATGAAAATATTGATGAATAATCTAAGAAATAATTTAGAGTTGAAAAAATAAGCTAATCTATATTTTCATAGGGTCTGTTTGAGTGTGTTTAAGCAGGCTGTTAATAAATATATGGAATGAAAGATATTTAAAAGATAGTTAAGATCAAAAATCGATTCCAGCTAGGTAATTATAGAGAATAAAATAGTGATTGGCAAAGAATCCTCATTGCTTTGGAACACTTCAGAAGCTTTATCCCTGACTCTACTAAGAACAAAAGGAAGACAGAGAACATTTTTTTTAAATATTGAGTTGGGATTTTTCAACTTACCTTTTACACATCATTTAGCTGGCGATTCGTTCAAAAATCTAGCAACAGTTTTGCCTAATTCAGCACTCGTTTTAACTCTCCATTGGCAGCACGAAGACTGGGAGTTATATAGGATAGAACCCATATAGCTTGATTGTTTCTCTTAACGTTGGAAACCAAAAAAATGTTGATGATATTCATTTAGTTTTAGTAAAAAGAGGACTTCTCGCCCGTTCAGTTTAAATCCCGCAAACGACATGACCTCAGTATTCCAATTTTTAAAAAAAGTGGTATGGCAGAGACTGTTGTTACTTGAAGATTCGCTCATGCCTGGTTCTCGCTTGGTTATCAATCGTTTTAGTTATCCGACCTTGATAAGCAGGTTTGTTCTGTCTTCATCGATATCAATAGATCAAATGAACAAAGTTTTTTTAAAATGGTCTGGCATTTGATCTGCACGAACGTTTAAAAGTAAATCTTGTTCAACTGATGTTTCATTGCACAAACCTTGTTTTCACATTATATTTGATCTACTCACCATCCTTAAATCTGGAAATACGATACTGTCACTTAGTTTATAACGTAGGCTAGTAAAATTCAAATTTTTTTATTTTAATGGTTGTTATTTATGAGCAATATGAACGTATCCTCTGTAAAATAACAGTAGAATTTTCACTCTTTGGTTGCCGTATTTCAATTCTCTATTCTCCCTACATGTGCTTGATATTTATTCTGTTAATAATTATGAATTATGGATATTATTTGAAAGCTGCTATAATACGTTAGTAAAAAGAAACTATTTTTACGGTCAGTTCATTGTTTTCTGAAAATTGTTAGTTGTTTGTAAACGATTTTGTCTTTTATTTATAAACTGTAAAACAGAAATGTCGGATTTATAGAAAGCGTAATTATTGTAGAAGTGGGAAAAATTCACACCTTACTAGAAGTATTTTTATATTTTTATAGGCTATTTTATCGGAATTTTGGCCAGATCATCCTGATCCATCCAGTGTAGTTTACCAATGGGAGCGTCGTTTACGAAGTCGAGGTTTGGGAACGAAATCCAGTCAACAGTTTGATGCAAACAAGCATTTATTTGAGATTCCAAAATCAAAGCAAAAATTATCACTGAAAACAAACAATATCATTTCCAATATGAAATATTCGTCGAATGAATCATTTATAGAAAATGAGAAAAAAGATAGTGGATTTGATGAGTTAACAATTAATAATAACATTTTACCTAAAATTGATGAAGAGCAAATTCATGGAGAACAATCTATTTCATCCACAAATAATTCTATTAATTTTATTAAAGATAAATCAAACAAATTATCAACTATAGAAACTCATTCAAAATTACTAAAACAAATCAATTCCCCTCAACAACATCCTGATTATGTAAAACCAAATCACAATTACTCAAAGTATGCTATGAGATTTTATAAATTTCTTACTTTGTAGTACATCATTTGTATACTATAATTTATTATTTAGTTCTCAAATATGAGTTAATGATCATGGAAAGCTGAAATTTCAGTCTTTAGTAATGACTTTTATGCTACTAATAAATTTCTGTATGACCTAAAATTGATCTTATAAAAGCCACTAAATAGTTAAAATGTACGATTTGGAAAGTTCAGTTTTTACAATTCTGAAAAGAAATCAAATTAGTAACTGGTCCTCTTGATAAATGTCGATAATGCAATGGGAAGATAGCACGTAAGTGATTGTGTCACATCCCAATTGTGTCTATCAATTTACATGTATGTACGGAAACACGTACATAGGAATGAGCAATCGTGATCTGAAAGTAAGTGTGGCTGGACATATAATGGTTAAATAAGGCCACAGGATAGACAAACATTTTCCTCCATTGCGAAACAGTTGATTGAGACCGGTCATAACGTCGATATCGGGTCAGCCTTTGTACTTTTGTACAAAAGCCTTCAAGGGCGTATACTAAGGTTTATTGAAGCCTTGGCTGTACGGTAAGTGAAACGTTTAGATGTTCCAAAACGATTTAATTCTCATCCCCAACCTATCCTAGTAACATTGATTTATTATCGATCATGCTTTTTACATTGTTTTATGTACGTTATTATTACCTTTGTTTCTACTTACTTTTTAATTTGTCTAGTTGACCTTTTATTTTTGATATAAAATGTCTTAACAAGTATATATAGGATCAGATTGTTCGAAATGTATTTCGCAAATATATCACATAATCCTGATAACCTTTGTCTTCCCAGTGCATTATCGGAATCAAATTGATACATTAAAATGAGACAGGGTTAGTTCCATAGTTGTTACTAGAAATTATACCATTTTTCAAGTTGAAATTATAGCATCACTTCATTGAATTTTGCAGATGATCAATTTCAAAAAATAAGAATTAATATGTTTGATATCGAATAAATCTGAATAAATCAATTTATTAAGCGAATGTGACATCTGAATATGATGGGAGTGTAGTTTTAACTTGATCTTATTTTCTTTCTTAAAATATTTCTTTTATGTATCTTTTCTTTTCAGTTTTAAAGTAGATTATTCCCCTCCTTCAAATGTAGAGGAGAATAATTTCTTTCATCCAGAAAAAGTCTATGAAGAATTATCATTAAGTAATAAATCCAGTATAAAATTACATGAGAACACTTTCAATTCAAAAAAATTAATAAAATCTCAAGTATTAAAACCGGACGACATTAATAGCGATATGAATAATACGTTACTTCATATGAATTCAGTCACATCATTTTCACCGTTCTATTATTCAGTTTATCAACAGAATCTTTCAAGAAATCAACAGAAATCATATCAAATTCCAGTGTATCCTTTCCATTCTCCTTTTTTATTGTCAACTTCACTATTTCAACAACAACATAGAAATCATCAGTTGAAAAAATCGGATAGTTTAAGTAAACTATTATCAAGATATCATAACTGTTTACAGATTGGTGAAAGAGTTCTTCAACGAACTGAAAATCGTCGTCATGAATTGGCTATGAAAGAAAATAAATTACCAGAAAATCACTATGTTGATAAAGTAATTAAATGGAAACAAATAATGTATTGCTAATTAAGTGTTTTCTTATTTATAAATAATAGCAAACTAATTAAGTTTTATCTGAGTTGATTAAGAATTATGAGATGACCTTGGCTGTAAATGCTGGTTCAAGTAATTCATAGATGGTTTTTTTAAAAATCTTTGTGTATATAGCTAACCGTTTTTTCACTCGACTGGAAGATATGATTTTCTTTTTCCAAGGCGTTCACTCAGAATTAATTAGTTAATATAAATGGGAACAACTCTCACTTGGTTTTCAATGATTTTGGTTAAGTAAATAATGAGAAGTTAAGTGTGCTTTTAATTTTCTAATTTTACTCTAATTGACTGTGATCTATGGAATTGTAAATAGCTTTAAGTCAAGTTATTTATTTAAAATTCCCTTGAATTGATATGTATTTTACTAGACTAAGGTTTATTTATACGTCAGAATGACGTATTTTTTTAAGTGAGTTGCTCAACAGTTAATATAATGATAAGGTTGTGTGAAGATAGTCACATAATTTGAAAGTGTCATCATAAAATGATGTTAGCTAGTGAACCATTATTTCCTATGACACATATTGAACAAATCTGTCCTCCTAGTTATGGAGACTTTAATACTGTTCACTCAGGACTTTGCGCAGGATATAACAAAATCAACTGAAGTTGAATATATAAACCATTGGATACCAGGCTAGTGATTCATTGATACTGTGTTCTACCTGAATCGTTAACATAAAACCTTCCACCCTGTATTTATTAGTAGTATGGATTAATCTCTGATCGTAATTTGCAATTTCTTCAAAAATTCTCATAGCTGACACTTACATTTGAATAACAAATTTTCTTGCAAAATATTTCGATTTAACTAGCAATGTACAATTATGAATACTCCCTGAAAAGACGATTAACCAACTAGTGTAATCACTCAATCAAGTGAATATATTTAATTATGTGTGCCTTAAAATCTCTCACTAACTAAACAAACTTTGTACGTAATTAATCTGATTTGATGTCAAATATATAGTGTTGACATGTGATTTTCATAATAATCCAAGTTTGGTTCATAGTGTGTGGATGTAATAAGTCAGAGACAGGTTCTGACACAATCAGCCACAAGGACCCTGTCCAAAGTTTTAGTTGGAGAGTGAAAATGATAGGTAAGTTGTGTAAATAGTAGTGAAATGTTTATGATGATAATAATTTTAATGAGACAATAATAAATAAAATTATAAAAGACAAATATTTAAAAGACTAATTGATACTAACTTAATAGATTTCTGAGTATTAACAAAAATAGCTAAGCTCCCTCTTTTAAAAACTATAATACAGGCATGAAAACGTAACTATGATGAACGACGAAGACATTTAAATACTCAAATCTAAAGTGATAGGTAGAAGAATGTTTGTGAAGATTTTAGATAGAAATATCTGCCCAAAAAGATGCAAAATTATAAAAGTTACATCATTAAGTTATTGCTCAGTTAAACAAAACACCTTTTTTGGACACATTGGTTAGGTTAAGTTGGTGAATCGCTTTCCCTCTGTTTATGTCGAGGATCCAGAACACACAAAATTAAGTGAATTCACTTCATCTCACAATGTTTGTTATTCATGCTATTGACACCAGTTAAATTAAATCACTTATCTGTTTGTAAGAGATAGATATGACACTTCGACGTTTTTAAAGAAAATAATAATTTCCAATATTTGTCTAGATAATGTATAGTTCTTAGACTTTATAAAATTAGGTGATTATATTTACGATGGCTAACTGAATGTAAAATAGATGAATCACAATAATACTGAAGTTATTCAGTGAACCAGCGTTTGCTCCACTAAAATACGTTTCACTGGCAGATCTTAATATTTTCACTGGAAACAATTTACAAAATAAACCTCGTTTATCTAGTCAAATAACATCCTGGAAATTTACAAAATATGTTTCATCCGTGTTTCTGAATAGATAAATTAAGTCTAAAGACGGCGTTCAACATGTAAACCTCCGTTACTGGAAGTCAGTTTAAATATCCCTGAATACACAATGCTACAGGCCTCCATGATTAAAAACACCCATCTTTTCGTAATGTAGTTAATGTAACTGACATTTGCGAGTAATAACATTTGATATTAACACATTTTTCTTTTTACAACAAAACTATGTTATACATAATAATGATTCATGAAGTTAGCGCAAATATACGTCAATTGTTTATCTGTTTTTATTCTAATTAGTTATCAACATAGCCTAGGTGGTAACCAAACCGTTGTACTCACTTAATGAAAACAACTAATGTCATAGTGATTAGGTGGTTATTAAAATTGATCGAGGTTGATAAATCTGGAACTATTGATTTAGCAGTACATTACATGGACGTCTACAAATAACTTATAAACAATTCGTCTATTTTATTTACTTTGTATTTTGTGTTGTTATAGAGTAAAAATATCGTGGTGTATTTTATCTTTTCGCTTTTTTCTCCCTTCAATTCACCAGGTGGCTGATCGAACTTCACTAGAAATTAAAACTCAAGAGAAGGATCTTTTGACATTAACTAACTGTCATAAAGATAAAGTCCAAAATCTAAATAATAATTCAACCAAATTAACTATGAATACATATACTACTGCTATTGATAATAATAATGCACAGATCAATAAGATTGGACCACATACAGAGGAGCTAATACAACATTCTTCTAAATTAACGAATCAGTCATTCATTGCACAACAATTTAAATTAAATCAACAACCGAAAACAAACACATCGGTTACTAATAATAATGCATCTAGTATTACTAAAAATAAAGATGGTAACACGAGTAGTGTCATCAATAAAACGCAAAGAAACATCAGCAATATCACATTTGGTAAACAATCTCATCAGTTATTACAGTCAAATCATAATGTAAAAACAAATGATAATACTAATCACTGCAGTAATAAGGGATTTATTGAGAATGGACAATCATTAGTTGACACTAACACATCAGTATTAATCACTGATAAATCCAAAATCCATGAAAATCATATTATTAGTGATAAAGACAACAACATAGAGATAGAAACTAAACTCCAGAAAATGGATCATATTTCGGATGCCACGAAAAATAATCACTCACCTGGGATTCAAACGGAAATTTCAGCCGAAAGTAAGTAGTTGAATCCATTAGGTTGATTTTGAGTATAATTTTACTAAGTTCATGAATAAACAAGATATGTACAAATTTATTGATGTTAGAATTGATGTGATTAATTGACACATTACTGACAACTCGTGTTTATCATACGCATTAGTAACGAAAACGTTCAACGTCAAATCGTAGTGTTTATACGATGAATTAGGCATAATGAATTCATTTTGTGATTACAATATATTGCATAACCCAACTATTTTAAATATCTTGTGATGAAGTGGCTACATTAAGGCAATCAGCAGAAGATGCACATATTTGAGCAAGGACTACTTAAAATGTAGTCCTGGATTTCAAAAACGGGATGACCCAAGCATTTACTGGTAATGATACAAATATTATGTCTCTTGGACAATTATTGGCTATCTAAACTCGGTAGCTCATGTATATTATGTTCCATAGTTACTACGGTATGTTCAGTGTGATAAAATACCACTCGAAATGGTTAAAATATTTTTGTACAAGTTTGATGAGTAAAATTAGATTTGAATAATGATTTACATAACACAGCAAGTAAACAGAAAATAAACTATATTTAGTAGTAATATATAATCAGGAAACAGTGAACAGTTTGTTAGATTATTATTTATCATTTGAACACATAACTATTGGTACAAGAGAACACCAAATATATATGTGCCACACAAAACAATGAGAATTCAAAGAGAAAAAAAGGTGAGGAGTGTAAAAAGAGGAACAATAAAGAATAGATTAGTGTACGGTAGTGTAATAATAATAATCATAATAATGGGGGAAACGGAAACGTACAATCAGAAGAAATCTTTCAGTTAAGGAAGGTACAACCACTTTTTATGAAGAAAGTAAAAGAAGGTTACAGCACGATCGCCACTGGCTTCTATTCTGGGTCATATCTGATAACGTCTCTAGCCACTGTGTAGCACCATCTCTCAGACCCCAACCAGGGAGTCGTGAAGGACCAACACAAGCCAGTCCTTTGCAGCTTTCTTTCATGCCACGACACCATGTCATGCACTGACCACCTCTCCGCTTCTTCCAACCAGTCCCAGAGTCGGCAAATAATGCACGACGTGGAATTCTCTGGGACGACATTCGGAGAACATGTCCAAGCCACTGAAGTCGGTGTTTCAAGATGGTGACACCAATTGCATTATCATCTCTGTGCCCGAACACACGATGCCGAACCTCTGCATTACTGACATGGTGTTGCCACTGAATGTCAGCAATCCTTCGGAGACAGCGATGATCGAACACAGAGAGTCGTCTAACGTCCTCAACTCGGAGAGGCCAGGTTTCACAAGCATAGAGAAAAACTGCTCTCACCGACGCGTTGTAGATCCGACCTTTTACAGCCAGACTAACATCACGAAGGCGCCAAAGATGGCCCAGATCGGCATAAGCCGCTCTGCCTTTCACTATACGTGCATTGATTTCATCACTCACGCCACCACCAGCATTTATGCAGCTACCCCGATACACGAATTTCTCAACTACTTTTATCTGCTCACCATCGAGCGTGAGAACAGGATTAGAATCCGGTCAGCCTTGTGGAAGTACTTTGTACTTCGAAGGTCCAAACCAGATACCGTACCTACGGACATTGATCGCCAATTGACTAAGTGCGGATTGCATGCCATGGGCATTATCGCACAGTAAGACAATATCATCCGCATAATCAAGGTCGAGAAGTCTTTCTTCAGGCAACAGATCCACACCACCATTACTTACGCCCATCAGAGCTGTTTCCAGAATGTCATCGATGGCAAAGTTGAAAAGGAATGGTGAGATTGGGCAACCCTGCCTAACCCCACTGCTCGAATGGAACAACGGAGAGAGGTGGTTGTATGCCCTCACTCTGCCTGAGGTGTTTGTGTATAGGGCTTTCAAGATGTTAATAAACTTCTCAGGCACACCATTCTTCAATAGACAATCCCAGAGAACAGCCCTAATGTCAAGAAACACTACGATTATTGGCGTTTGATAAGTATGACGGTGTTCTAACATTTTGGTGAAAAGTGCAGATATGACCAATACGTCCTCGACTGGAACGAAAACCAGCCTGCTCTTCGCGAGTCAATCTTTCTCGGGTTTTGAACAACCTACGAAGTATGATGGAAGTCAATAACTTGAACGCGATCGGAAGTTTGAGCAAATCTTATTGTTAATATTATTTTTATTGCTATATTACGGTAAAGCCTTTGATACAAATAATATATATGTTGAGTAACCTAATACCTTCAATAATAGGCGCTTACACCATAGAACTCAATAAAGTTTCATGATATATATATATATAAAACCTACTTGGAGTCATATCATTAATTTTTGCCAAATGTATTTTAGTTATTACATAAGAAGAGGAAAGTACCATATACAGGTGTTGTAGGAACTTTGATTGATAATAAACTATTTGCAAACTTACATCTCATTAGATAGTAATATGTTACATTAACTCATCTAGAGGTAAAATATAACATATTGTTAATGTTGAAACATTATGATAAAATCCAGAGAATAATTAATCTGTATCAGTAAATTTGTTTAAAAGTAACTTTCTGATTTAGTTACTTTAAATGACCTATTATTTCTGATTAGACATTTTAATACCGAATAATTTAAAAATGGAAGTAAATATATGTGGATTTGTCAGTTGTTCTGTTTGCTTCATTTGTCATGAATAGTATTTTGGGCTATAGATAAGGTAAAACACGATGTACGTGTAATTGTCAAGTTATAAATAATTTATGGATTAAAAAGTTGTTTAACAATTTCAAGTTACCTTTTGTGAATCTATTCATATGAAAGTATAATAAGCTGTAGAAGTGGCTAATTACCATTTTGTTTCATTCGTTCTTAATTAGAATTCAACATATATTCTATATTCAACTGTGTAGACTGTAAACTTAGATCAGTCTACTCTTATCTCTTCATCTTACTTAGTAGAATCTAATTTAACAACTAGATAATTTTGTACTTCAATGAATAACGTTTGTACATATTCAAATAATTTTTACAACTATGAATGGATTTATACGCGATCCTTATCACTCGAAACACCATATTAAATATACATTAGCCCATAAAATAATAATATATGGTATGATGTACAAATATATAGGTATCAACTAGCCTATTTCTCTAGTTAAAGAAATATGAATTATTAAAAAAAATATGGAACAAACTAGATCAGTTGTTTATAATGGCTATTTCTTCAGGAGTGTTTTCTTTGTTCAAATTATCACTTCACTTGAAGTCAAAGCAATTCGGTGCAAATAAATACCTTTTTTTAATGAAACTTTATTCTGTTATTATTTGTTGATAAATCTCGAATATCATTTTATTCTTACAGAAAAATCATTGTCCGTTGCACATGGTCTTCTAAATGTAAAACAAAAGTCCTCCGAAATTCTAATGAAAAAAACATTTGATAAAGATATAAATCAAGTACCAAAACAGAATAACAATGATATCACTAGATGTAATGCTAACAGAGATATTATAACGCAACAAAATTTGAATACAAATACACCAGATGTAGTTAATAATAACATTACCACAACTGCTGCTACTAATATTAATCATATCACTTCTGTAAAAATATTAGATGTTTCTGATAGTACACAACAAAATTTAATTGCAAATTGTTTTACAGTTAGTGGATTTAAAAAACCCAATAATGATAAATTGAAATCAGTTTATACGGCAGTTGGAGTAACATATGTTTCAGGTATGATAATAATATTTAGTCTAAAATTTCCAGTATTTATCATATATTCATATACCTATATATCATTCATTTGTTCACAGATCATTTAAACATAAAGATTATTTGAGTTTATTTCAAGAGAATATAAGTTGAATCATTCTGATTCTATCATAAACGTGTTATATTAAATAACTTACACTTAATTCATAAGTATTTAACAGTAACAGAACAAATTTATGTGATCAAAAATTACTTAACAATCATTTGATGTACAACTTTTAAATGATTAAAATTCGATAGTTTTAAGTAGTTAGTCATAGTATCTGTAATTAGTTTTAAAATATCATACTTCATATTACTTATTGATATTATTTGAATAATCACTAAAAACTAGGAAATATTAGACAGTTGTCTCGTCCTAGTATAGAATTCTACACCAATTCGGAGAGACTCTAATTTATGGACGACCTTTGAACGAATCTTAAGTGATCTTGAGAAATATTAGCCAATCAGCAAACAGTCAGTATGAAGTAAAAATATATTATAAAAAACCAAGGAGATAAAGAGGATACACTTCTTATACGTGGTTCAAAAACTTGTCAAGGTTAGGAAGAGGTTCAGAGGTTCTAAGATCGTAATGCATGTAGTAGAGGAAATCATCCATACGGCTACAGAATAGTCGGCCTCTGGAGCCATGATTAAGTCTCAAAAACTCTTTCAGCTTCGACCATATAGCTTCACTATTGTTTATCGTCACACCGGTTTTTGAGTACACAAAATGCCACTTGTGGACAATGACACGATGCACATAAACTGGCCTATGTATGAGTCTGTACGCTCTTCAAACATCCGTATGCATTGTGATACCTGGCTGCAGTCAGTGTTTCTGGTGCTTTTTTATCCAGTTCGCGATAATTATCATAATTTACCGTAGTTAAGAATTATATATGGGGTTTTCATCACGAACTGACATCAACTATAATGCCAGAAATCGAGTTGGTCAAATGTATGAAAGGCTTTCGCGTTAAAATCCGAGATCTGTTATCTTATACCCGATTGATTTGTTCATACATTATAGTCTCGCCGTTTTATATGTTATAGTCGTTCAATTATCACGTTTTGTACAAAATTCCCTGTAAACCGATCTTACGTTAGCATTAAGCACTGAAGTTGGCGCCGTAACCTTGAAATCCCTAAAACGCTTCTGATTGACTCGTCCATAAATTAGAGTCTTGCCCTATTGATCTGTCATCCGACGGTTTACATGTTTAACTACAATCAGTTTGTAATATTGTTTGACAAATAACAATCTAATGTATAACTCTAATCATTTGTTTATATTAGTAGATGTTCAAAACAAAAAATAGTTATTTTACATAAATTGTTAATTTACGTATTTTTATGTTATTATTTCTAGTGTTTTTGTTATTGTGTTATCACAAAATAGTTTATTGTATGATAATAATATTAAGTATTCGTTGTGTTAATGAACTTCAGTCATACATAATTCCAAGTATTTTATTTAACTATGATTTGCATTAAATATAAATAAATAAATACGGAAAAACCTGTTATAAACATCCTCATTACATTGAATAAATTACAGTTTATGTTTATATTTACTATGAAATGTATGGTATGATTGTTTCTTTTTATGCCCAATTTTATACAAATATCAACAGACTAAAACTAGTTTGCACATTTAAAATTTATATTTTACTAATTAAAAAGGATTTTATTTCATAAGAAAGAAAATATTAAGTTTATTCGTTAACATTCTGAAGCATAGGAGTCGATAAAATTGTTTCATATTGTCAATAAATGGAGTTTATCTGTTTACTGAATTCAAGTGTTGAAGTTATTACATAAATATTTATTCATATACTAACTGATTACCTTAAGATATTTTGGTCAGTTGAAATGTGAGGGTAAATTATTCTGTCGCACAGAATTGTCCTGAAAACTGTAAATGAATATTTCAGTGTTTTCTTTGTACTTGGTAAACAATTTATGAACCTTCGTAAATGAAGCGAACCCAGTAGGTTAGAATTCACCGAATGAGGTGGTTAGGGTATTTATTAAATATGTCCAGCTTTGAAATATCTCAGAATTTAGTGTTTACGGGAGTAGGAATAGGCTGAAGGAAAGCTAAGGGCGGCCAAATCATGACATGACATCAGTCAGTAAAACCACTAACTGATAGAATGATTCGCGTTGTAATAGGGAAACTATTTGATATGAATCTGTGTGGAAACTGTAATCTTTGTGACTGGTGGCGTTGCATGATATGTCTCGGAATCAGTGACAGCGGCTTAGGAGCCTTCCTTCTTTATCTTTCTCAGAACATCGAACCTAACTTTTATATCATACATTGCATTTCTTGAATTTATCCCTTTCTTTTGAACCGTATTCACCAATATTTAGTTGTTTTTTTCACTAATGTTACTACCACCATTTTGGTTTCTTGGTCTTGTTGAATTCATCTTACCTTGTTGATGTGATATGCCAACTTGCTTTAACACGCATTTGTAACGGGCTATATGTTGAGTATAACTGACAAACATCTACGAGACGTCTGAAAAGGTAAATAAAGTTTCCAGATGAAGAAACTACATAGATCATTTGTTTCACTAAAAATTTATGAATGCTTGTTATGAAGCATATATCACATACGTTTGTGTTTGTTAAAAGTATATAAAGATGGGTAGAATGGTCAAAAACGGTAGTAAACTACGCTGTTTCTACAGGGATGTATTTGTGAAGTTTGTAAAATGTGTATTATCCCGGGAATTAAACTAGTTCGTAAAGCTTTTCACCGTTGAATGTTAGTGTGAGAGAAGGTACAGACTTAGTGATCGATTGTAAGAGTTCAAATTTTTCGAAGCCCAAAAATACAATAAAATTACGGTAAATGAAGCAATAAAATTTCTTTAAATACTTTCACCACGTATCCTATCGCAATAATCAGATGCTGTACCTACCTAGTCTAAAGTTTTTAAGTACCTCTCAGCCTTTGTTCTTTCGAAAACATCTTACAATGTTTGTCATTTTAAAAAGGATTTTACCTTCTTTTATTCAGCTGCTGAGCTTCATCTTACTGTTCTTAGTTACGTAAAATGATGGTAAACCTCAAATATTAAATATACAAATCCTAAACCTTATGGAGTTTAGTGCTTACAATTAGAGTATCCCAGGAATTTAAACTATTTCTGGTGAATAATTAAATCTCATAAAAAGGATGATTTTAACTTGTATTTTGTTAACAATGACTTTTAAACTAATTGTTATATTTTTTCGGAAATCGAACGAAAGTGAAGGAATGCATGTTATGGGCATCATATCCTATGTTTCATAAAGTACATATGCTTAAAGCAACGAGATATAAAGCACTTTCGAACCAGAAATTCCTGCTACTAATATTTAAAATCGTCGAATGATTTGAAATCGTCAATCAGGTGCTTGAGCGTCAACTGTGGTTGGGTTCTCAATTAAATACAAGGTTTTACAAAGATTTATTAACTCCCTGGTATGTTGGAAACTATTGAAGATGCCATTTAGCTTCACCATAGAACCAAGTATTTTAAAATATTGTATATGAAATGAATAGTTTGATGAACCAAGCACACACAGCTATGTTAGGCTAGCCTTTTACTTAAAACAAGGGTTCGAAATACTATAACATACTTGGTAATAATCCACAAAAAGCTTTCTACATAAAAATAAAATAAAATAATATCAATGAAATCCGGTAAGTGATGATTATGAAAGTATGTAAACGTAGGGATTCAATACTTTCATTTAGGACTTCTACTTACATGGGGATATTTAAACATTAATTCTCAATGTTTCATAGTACTGTTGAATCAATAATTTTTATTACTTTGTATTTTTCTTTATTACAAAAAGATCCTGATTATTTATCGAAACGTTATCAAGTTGGTCGTAAACTAGGTGATGGTAATTTTGCTATTGTTAAACTAGGAAAAAGGCGGGATACAAATGATCAGTATGCTTTAAAAATAATTGAGAAAAGTAAACTTACGGGTAAAGAAGCCATGTTATTAAACGAAATTCATATATTACATCATTGTCGTCATCCAAATATTGTACGTTTATATGAGGAATTTGAAACTGCAAGTGAAATATGGCTTGTTATGGAATTTATTAAAGTGAGTTTGATTACCTTTTATTCATACATACATACATACATACATACATGTAAGCAACCTTGCCTGACACCGGTCTTTACTTCGAACGAGTTTGTCAACTGTCCTTCGTGCAAGATTTTGCAGTTTAATCTATCATAGGAATCCCGTATGATATTGACAATCCTCTGAGGCACGCCTTAGTGTCAAAGAAGCTTCCATAGGGTTGTCCTGTCCACGCTATCAAATGCTTTCTCGTAGCCAATTAAGTTGATGTAGAGTGATGAATTCCATTCAATTGATTGTTCCACAATGATCCGTAGTGTTGCGATATGGTCTGTACACGATCGATCCTTATGTAATCCAGCCTGTTAATCTCGAAGTTGAGCGTCTACGGAGACCTTCATTCTGTTTAACAACACTTTTTTGAAGACTTTTCCTGGTATTGAGAGAATAGTGATGCCCCTGCAGTTATCACACTTGCTGAGATCGCCGTTCTTTGGTATTTTGATCAGAAGTCCTTCTTTCCAGTCTAGTGGTAGTTGTCCCTCATCCCAAATCTTGCTGAAGAGAATGTGGAGTATCTTTGCAGTTACTGCTACGTCTGCTTTCAGTGCCTCTCCTGGAATGTTGACTGGTCCTGCTGCTTTACCGCTCTTGATTCGTCTGATGGCCATGTTGCTCTCTTCAGTGGTTGGCAGTGCAAAATTGATTGCGGGGCCCATGGATGCGGATCCAATGTTGGGTGGGTTCAGTGGGGTCGGTAGAATAAAGAGTTCCTTTAAGTTCTCTACCCACTTGTTTCGTTGTTCTTCAAGATTGGTGATTACTTCTCCGCTCTTGCTTTTCACTGGCCGTTCTGGTTTACGGTAATTTCCAGCGAGTTTATTTGTTGTATCATATAATTGTCTCATGTCTCTTTCTCTTGCAGCCTTTTTCGCCGTCGTTGTTAGATCTCCCACATATTTAAATTTGTCGGTTATGATGCTCCTCTTCACTTACTTGTATACTTCTGTGTATTCAGTTTGTGCCTTGGCTTTCTCTGCTCTTGTTTGGCTAGTATTGATTGCTGCCTTCTTGTTTCTCCTTTCTTGAATCTTATCCAGTGTATCAGCAGTGATCCACTCCTTGTGATGGTGCTTCTTGTGGCCCAGAACATCTTGACATGTTGAAGCGATTGCCACTTTTGTCCCTTTCCAGTTGCTCTCCATAGTAGTTCCCACTCTACTGAGTAGATCATGAAAGGCCTGTAACCTATTGCTGAGGGCTACCTTGAATTTGTTGAAGTTGTCAGTAACCCGAAGAAAAGCCGTATTAAACTTTTGTGATGTTGTCCACCCTGTTGTCCATAAATAACATAAGATAAAAGAAATGATAGTGTAACTACTCACCATAATAAGTGTTTTGTTAGGAGAACCTATATTGTAGAGAATGATATGAAGGAAGTAAAAAATATTAATGTGAGAAATGTTAAGTGCATTCTTCACATATTTCATTGTTGAGTTTATTTATTAATTCTCATAAAACTATCTCAGTTAGTTAACACAAAAAACCATAACTTTAAAAGTTAGTCACTTTTTATTTATTTATGTAAGTGATGATAAGAAATATATAACCATTGAAATAGTGTAGTATGATATGGTTGTTATTTTAAACATATGTATTATAGAATGATTTTTATTGATCCAGTAATTATTCCATTATCTTGATTCCTTATCAGAGTGAATTTAGTACGGATGAATAGAGTTGTTTAATTCTTAAACTCTGATGAAGTTAATCATATATGATAGATAGGCGAATAGACTGATAGATAGAAAATTGATGTTTAAAATATTTAAAAATTAAATTAATGAGTCGATTGAAGCCAGACCACCATGGAAAACCTGAAAGCACTGGATGGCCGTTTCATCCTAGTATGGATGCCAGCTCAGTGGTGTAAAGGTTAAGCGTTCGCGCGCGAAACTGGTAGGTCCTGGGTTCGAATGTCGCGGGAGTTGGGATCGTGGATGTGCCATACTGGGATGGAACGGACATCCAGTGATTCTAGGTTTTCCATAGTGGTCTAGCTTCAATTGACTAATGCATTCAATTATTAAATTACTACAATGTAAACAAAACCCCTCTTTGTTTAAAGTATTTGTTCATAGTAATAATTTAAGTTGCTAACATAAAAATACTTTAAAAAATTTTCTCAATGAATTAAATAAGACGAACACAAATAAAAATTAGTTTTTATACAATGATGGATAGTGGTTAGCAGGGGAATTCAGGATACGCGTTTCGCCGTATTTGGGATTCGTCAGCTGGATGTACCTGCATCCCAGAGATGATGTTCACTCCGGGACTCAAACCCAGTAATTAATTGGTTTTTGTATTTTCTTTGTATAACTTATGAAAGTTGAATGAATAATTTAAAACAACTGATAACTTTAATTCTTTTCGTTTCTTCTTTCAATGTTTACTTCCTGAGAATTTTAAACATAATAATAACAATGTTTTTATATCTGAAAATATAAACATAATGTTGTAAATATATGTGAAATAATATCTATTTGAGTAGTTTTATTTCATTTTAGATAGTATATGACAAATTTTCACAGCCTATAGTTCTTGTTAGTTAAGTTTACCTTTTTTATGATCATTAAGTGTTGTTTTATATGTATATCGCAAGAAGTTACACATATCTTGAAATAAATATACGAAGACGTCTATATTTATCACATTCAAAGGCTTTAGTTGTCAATCAGGATATAGCTTTGTGGATTATTTTTAATCATCATATGACATATTTAAACAATAAATAAATTTTGTGGGCTTATAATTTATTCAATAGTTATTCATTCGTTTATAATACACATTAAGATACGTTAATATACATTTGTTCAACCATATTACAGTATATTAACTAAACATAAATAAAAACAATCGTTTTAATACACAACAGAAAGTACTTTGAAATAACACAAAATATGATAGAACTATTCAAAATAAGGGAACGCTGACAAAAGAACCAATGAAAAAAGCTTTAAGTGAACATTATAGATAATTTTGTTGTGAATAGAAAAGTCATATGATTTGGTAAAAGATATCAAATTACTCTTAACTAATCAAATTCCATGAATTTTGTCCGTTGATTACATCATTATGTATATACTGGCTTATTTTTATGTATTATCTACAATATATCAAAATTCTGCCGAACATGGATCTAAAAACCTGTAAGTTCTAGCCATTAATTCTACAATAGAGCGTCATGAGTTTTTCATCTATTAAGCATTCGATGAAAACGTATGCACATATTTACGTAGCAAAACTAAGATGACTTGGAAAATTTGTTTGTGGTGTATCTAATTACTTCACACCATTATCATCCAAACATATCTTTCATTCCTTCAATTCGGTTATCCTTGAAATGGACTCATTTGACAGCATAAATGAATTCAGAAATGACAAAACAAGTATAACAGTATACTTAAGTAGTTTGAAAAATTGTTCATTAGAGTCATAGTCCGTACACGGTGGTCAATAAAACGCTCTATCTGATGGAAAATGTGTGAAAATTATTTGCTTCAAAAATGATTTACATCACGAATCAACTTTAGCTCGACAACCAGTAGTCTAGATGTGATGTGTTCGACTTCGATCTTGAATCTTTGTAATCTTCCCATTTTTTTATTATAGGTGCACACATTCAAGAAGTCTCATATTAGTATGGAACATTTGTCTTAGTTTCCAATGTATGCTTAGCTGAAGTGATGTTACTTATCTTTTGTAGTTCAATTAGGAAAACTTATCTCACCATATTCAGCACCAAAGTTCCATTAGAATTTAAACACTCTAGTTCTTTTTGGATTATTTTTTAACCTGTATATCCATGTAGCACAACAGTTCTGAAGTTTATAATAGTGTTTAATTAAACAGATTTCTTGAAATAAAACTAATGAAACTTTTGAATATGACTTTAGAATCAGCTCATTTTTATCTACTGACAAAGATAAGTTCAATATACAGAATTCAGTTATGAAATGAATTTCAAAATATTTTAATGTCTTTTATTTCATAAACCGAATCAAGTGAGGAAAGAAAAGTCCGTGGTTATACGGAAAACATAAATCTAGAGGTAATAACTTTGTCTTACAGAAGACTGTGAATAGTATGAGTCTGTGGGAAGATGGCTAACCATTGAATGCGTTAACCAAATAACCATAGGCATTACCTTTAATAGTGAGTAGTACATAAATAGTAAACAAATGAATTGTAGTAATAAGAATACTGGTTTTTGATAGAGTAATTAATGCAGGTTAATTTTAAGAGATGAGGATAAAATAAGAATGATGCTGTATTCATTCATGTCTAAATGAATTTTAATTTCAGTTGGAACTTTTTGACTACAATAAACTCATGCACAATCCCATTGGATGCTTTAGGTTTGTAAATTAATCCCTTCCTTTTTCATCTTAGAATATGTCAACATGATATTCATTTTTAAAATGACTATCGTAAATTCATAGCAGCAATCATGTAAAGCAGATTTGGTAGAAAATATACTATTTTTATGTGGTTTTTTGTAGCCATGAGATTTACTAGAAAATTGACTCACCGTTTAAATCATTTAAACCGTTTTATTTAGTAAATGATAGTTTTATCTGCTTCTAAATGTTTTCTACCTACTCAGTTGACAATTCTTAAATTTTCAGTAAAGGGTTGTGGAGATTGTCGAGTTTTTACTGAGATCATGAACCGATTAACGTCAGATCACCATTGAAAACCTCAATAAAAATCTCGATAAGAATTCTTGAACTCACATACTTTTCGTGCTGTAAACGTAGAGATTGACTTTACTTCTTGCTTTTGTCCTTATGATCCTGATGTATTCTCTACAAGACGTCTTTATCATTTACGATAAACAGAGTTATAAGATGTCAATTTCATTTAAATATTTTATGAAGTAGAACTATTAAATTTAAATAGTTTCACGTCGACATTTGCGTCACCTTCTTTCGTCTCTATCTTTTAGTCTGTAACCTTCATTGTACTCTTGTGATTGCACATTTAATCTAGATTAATTTGTAAACATAGAAACTCTAGCTGTGTATTGGCGTAATGTAGTCTATCTGTAAGAAGTTTAATATTATATTTATAAGCTTTTAAATGATCTTCGGTTACGCTAGATTACACAGATGAATGATTATTTATGGTATGAGATAGGTTGCAGGTTCTCAAGAGACCAAATAAAACAACCAGGCAATAATTACAATAAGCAGTATATGAGAGGAATGTTATTTCTTCACGTTACTTTTGTTTAAATAAGGAAAAGGCAATATATGGTAAGTGGGAAATTATGTTACATTACATAGGACCAAACATTTTCAACAAAACAATTACGAAATTCAATATTGATAAATAAATTCTCATTATTTTATATTGATGTTAGATATGTTCACAGCATCCTATGAACTCATCCTATTTTGTTGCATTTGTTTTAGCTGCCTTTAAGCTGATAGTTTTAGTTAATTCATAATTATAATTGGTTGATTGCTTATAATCGAATTGTTCGAATGGAGAAAATGTAATGGATTAATAAAATTACTGTTTTTTATATTATGGAATATTTCAAAGTTATCTCTTCAAACTCATTAGTTAAGAATTCGGCAGGGAAGAAATAAGACAAGGGGATTATAGGTCTAGAGTTTGTAACATGCAGATTATAAGTGTGGTGATGCATTTGCTGGCCGTTGTAAACACACTTTGAATACTTGAATCAGACTTTTACAGTTGATTCTGATGACATCAAATATGTAAAGGATCCACGGGTAGATTGTTAGGGATGTATTATAATATTAAGATGGCTTCATTTGGTTTTATAAAGTTTCTAAACGCCTCTAAGTTATTAAAATAAAAATTCGACCACCTCTTTGTAAGTGTTTTTATATAACCTTCATTATGTCAACAGTCTTTTCTTTGAGAATTTCTATATGCTATCTACGTGTTCAAGTGTCAACCATAAAAGTATAAAAAGTTAAGGTTACTATTGAGAATGGAATGAATTATTTAACTCGGATACTCAACTTTTCCATCATTGATTCAAGTGAGTTACAGAACAGTCATCGAACTTTCAAAATCACATTCTTTCAGTATAGTCGAAATAAATTCTATCAACAAAATATTTTTATGTAGACAATGCAACTCAGACGAGATTCGTAACTTTAGGGTGCAAAACAGAAGATCCTAAACCGTTCCTCTTGTTCTATTTGTTTATTTAAACTAATTATACTACTACAAATGTTTAGTTTAATCTGATGATTATGTCCTTATTTATAGACGCATTACTTAGATGACATTATTTCATTTGATTTTGAAAACATTTTTTGTAGGATGGTGATCTGTTTGACGGAATTACTCAAGCAACAAAGTTCACTGAACCAATAGCTGCTGGAATAGTATCTGATTTAGCCAGTGCTTTATTTTATTTACATTGTCGATCTATTGTACATCGAGATTTAAAACCTGAAAACATATTGGTAAGCTTTTATTTATTTTTCAACTTTCTTTAATTCATTTTGATTACCTTCAAACGTTTATTGAACCGTTTGTTTTTGAAAAGTAATTGCATAAGTTGTTCAGTTCTTATGATTTAGAAAGTGAATAAGCAAGTGGATGGACAGGAATTTTATACTTAACCATTATTACTTTGTATAACGAATTAACATTATTTGAAAAAACCACAAAATTACTGTGTGATATTTCATTAAGTTAAAAGTATACATTCTTGGATTATTCCTTAAATAATACTGAATTATTGACAAAATCGAAGTCTTTTACAAAGAAAGGATAAATACAAAGAAAATAGACGGTGAAATCGTTTGTTTCTATTTTAAGTGTTTTAGTTTTACTGAAAACAATTCATAAGATTATTTGGGATGAAAATCTTACGTTTATAAATTCAGGATCCTTATTTATTAATAGTCAAATATGTAAAATAGTCAAAGATACTTATCACGACATTGACTAACTTCCTCCATCTAAAAATTACAGGCAGCAACTTTTCTGTAACGTGTTTTTCATCCCAAATATTTCACATATTTAAGACTTAAAAAGCATAAAAAAAGTCTATTTATTTATCTATTTGCAGAATTCTCTCAGTTTAACTCATAAAGTGATCTTAGCTAGACCATTATTGTGGACCTAGGATCACTGAACGGCTGTTTCATCCTGGTATAGAACTCCGTAGCAGTGTGCACTTATATATATGTAAATATATATATATATATAACGAATCGTTAAATATTTTTATACGTTTTGTCAGGAAATTGGAAGTCGAATTATTATTAAGTTCAACAAAATATTTGAGTAAATTCATTCGCTCCTGTTATTTTATTTTTCCTTTTTCCTAAAAGTTATTACGACAGAAAAACGGTCAAATACGAGTCAAACTTGCGGATTTTGGACTGGCTTTAGTGGTGAAAAAAAGTATGTACACTGTATGCGGAACTCCGACGTATATTGCTCCAGAAATATTGGAAGAATCAGGTATTATTTCTGCTGAAACTATTTTTTTTTACATAAAATGAATAAAAGTAAACATAGCTGAAGATTACGAAATATTTTTGCGTAACACAGAAAACTAGTTACTTCTGCATATGTGTGGTGTATATCCCAATGGTAAAATCTGTAGAAAGTGTGTACTGACCGAATTTGGAATATTTTATATTAGCAAGAAAAAAATCTACAAGTTTAAAAACAGAAGAAAAGAAAAAATGTAGTCAAATGCATTACAAATCTAAATACGATTCACGAGAAACTAGTGAAAAAGACCAACTGTATAGTAATACATAAAATGAGAATTAAACATAAATTGTTAAAAATAATTAATTTGATGATACTTTAGTGATTACCTAATATGAATTCAGGTTTTAAATAGTCTATAAGACTAGATCTACTAGCTTACCGTTAAACACTTTTAAGTTTTTAGCAGAAACTATAGTTAAGCATCAAATTAAGTTATTTGAAATAGTGTAAAATACTAGCCAAGTGAATTTCACGATGGCGCTTTAAGCGAACGGTACTGGGTTCGAGTCCCATAGTGAACATCAACTCTGAGACGCAGGTACATCCAGTTGACGAGTCCCAAATATAACGAAACGCGTCATAGATTCCACTACTAGCCACTATTCATCTTTGCTTATAAAGCTTGTGACTTAAGGCTATATCGAGGCAGTCCGCACATGATGTACATATGCTAACAAGAAACTGATTAATTGCAGTCCTAAACAACAATGAGAGTGTACAAGTAATCAACATCAAGTAAATTTATTAGCTTATATATTTCTTTAATGTAATTAACACTCTTAAACTAATAAGTACAACATTTATGCACTAAGTGCCATCATCACTAGATAATCAATTTTCTGTCGAAAATTATTATTAATGTGAAAATAGGTTTGTCATATATAAAAATGAAAATCATTCAAAAAATCACAAATAACTAAAAAAGAACTGTTTTACACTAATCGTTTATTGAAATTCATTCGTGATATAATACTGGATGTTTATATTAGTTATATTGACCAATCATTAATTGTTAAACTTACAAATATGGACAATAGGATTTCTAACTTGATGATTTGAAAGCATCTTGTTTATGCTGAGAATTGTAAGTCCTCGATTCAACCTTATATAGTGTCACAAGTGGTCATAACTGTTCATCCCTATCTCATTATGAATAATTTTTTAGATGATATTATTTTCAGATGTAAACAACTAGTTTAAATTTAACTATTCTTTAAATACCACGAACCGACTAAAAAGTTAACAATAATCTTTAAGTTTTAAAACCAGATAGATTTGCATTGAAATATTTGTTCTTATTGTATAAAAATAGACAACAGTAAACATAAAGTGCTCATGGCAACAACCAAACATATACATGTTTCTGTATTTTATTTGTTTTGTTGAACAATGTATCCTAAAACTTGAGATGTTGAATAAATATGCCAAACAAATATATAATAAATGAATCTGAATAATAAAATCTTATACAACATTGACATTACAAACTAGTTTTGTTAAAAGATCCAGTTCGAATGTAATGGAATATGAAATCTTCGTGTTATTGAACTAAATTTAGCAGGTTGAATTTTATGGAATAAATTGAAATTAATACTTAGTTCTTTAATTTTCATCAGTTGAATGTGTAAAAGCATTTTAATCTTACCAGTGAACAGAAATGGATATACATTGGGTGTATAAACGTTTAAATTACATCCAGTCAGTTGGTACACATGGTAGTACAAACTATTTCTGTTGTAAATGACGACGTCATTTACAGGAATTTTAAGCCAAAATAAAAATGTTGTTTAGGTTTAGCCCTTCGAATACCATGTCTTACACAGAAAAGTAGTTAGATTTCTAGATTTTATTAATTTTAATAGTGTTTCTACTTAGTCTGTATAAATTCAAACATCAATATACTGAGAAATAAAGAAAATACTTCTAAGATTTTCTAACAAGTTTTCCGCAAAACGTCCGTATCTCTGATATATAGTACGAATTAACAATATGTAATTAAGTAAAAAATCGAAGTGGTACAATGATTTTGAACTAGTATCAGAAGCTAGATATAAGTATTGTATCAACTATTTTAATCCCTCTCTAACATCTGAAAATGGGTTTATTCATTTTCTCTTTCAGACGACCTTCGATCTATAAATTAACCCCTGTTTTTATCTATTTGATAGTGATTTTAATATTTTTGGCTTTAGAATTATAATCTTTCTATTTAATTATTGAGCGTACCTAATTTCCATCTTGACTTGGATGGCTGTTTATCAGGCTATGTAGTCACGATAAACAACTTCTGCAGAAGCTTCATTTAAACCTTTACATATCACTTGCCAAACATTCATTTGTACGGGCTACATGGATTAAATGAATTTAAAATAATCGAAAAACTACAAGATGTTTTAATTTAAATTAGATTGATTAATCCACATAACGAAGATCAAAGAACCAGGTATTCAAAAGTGAACCAAACAAAAGATTGAGTAGGAATGCAAATGCAAGTGAGCATCACAGAACCTTTCTGTATGACCCATCACCAAAAACGTCTACTTTTGATATTAGTATACCAATATTAAAATGTTCAATTCCATTTTGAGTTGGGCCTGAGGATTTTACTATGAATAATAATGAAAGCTTCGAAGTCAATTCATTTGATCACCAATACTCCTAATCAAATCATTCATACCTAGATTTTATATGTTGAAGTAAACATATATAGGACATCATAAGTGATTATGCTTCTCCGACTTTCTCGTTTACTAACGCCATTCAAAATACCTTTTAAAAATAAACCTTTGTTTAGTGAATGTACTACATAGATTCAGTCAGTGTTGATGGTATCTCTGATCGTAATTCAAAAACAATGCAAATAATAATCTGATTTGATCTTTATTTTACTACAAACTGTGCTTTAGTATATTAATTACTGGAGAATTGAGAGAAATCTCTAACTATAACGGACATTTAAGCACACAATCAGTAAAATCATTTCATTCTTGCCTATTTTTGCTCATTCCTCACAAACGTTAGGTTATGGTCTTGAAGTCGATATGTGGGCGTTGGGGATTATAACCTATATTATGTTATGTGGGTTTGCTCCATTTCGTAGTACTGATCGAAGACAGTCAAAGTTATTTGAAAGTATAAAACGAGGTCATTTTGTATTCCTGAGTCCTTATTGGGATAATATATCAACATGTAAGTCCCTTTTTTTCAAATGATCATCGTTCTTGTTGCGTAATGTCTGATTTTTATTAAAATTTGAAGATTTTAGGCATTTGGGTGATTTTGAAAACTACTTAACATAAATTAGAATTCCATAGCTACGATCGATCATGATCTGAATCACTGCCATAAAAAAGATTACACACATCTTTTGAAATAATTTATATTTTGTAGTTTATGTTCTCATTTAATGGATGAAACTGTGTGTACGCAATAATGAACAAAAATACCGTAAGGGAAAGTTACAAATCAAGTGTGCTTAAAAGGTAGCCACCACTGAAAAGCTTGAATTACTTTGTTCTACCTTTAATTAGATAATCACTTTCAAGAAGTTATTATTACATCTGGTTGAAGAAATATAGTCTAGTTAAATAATTATGTGAAATAAATTAATTTCCAAAGAAAATAATATATAACTAATACATCAAAGGAAATGGATATTCCTGGACGATCCAAATTAGTGATGTTTTTAATACTTAAGGTGAACATTATTTGATATGGTAAAGAAAAAACAAAATGAAAAATTGATATTCATTTCCTTTAAAATTGTAAGATAAAGATAAAATATGCAGTAGGTTAAATGATAAACAATGATAAGTAGCCATCTTTCACTAAATCTTAAAACAAAATATCCAATAAACAAATATAATTGAATGAGATTATTTTTTTTCCAGTTGTGTTTGGAAGTTAGTTTTTATTACGAATTTAACTAGTTAAAACTAATGAACACTGAACAAGTGCTAGCTATTTTGTAAGCAGTGATGAATAGTGGCTAGCAGTGGAATCCAGAACGCGCATTTCGTCCTATTTGAGACTCGTCAGCTGGATGTACCTGCATTTCAGAGTTGATGTTCACTCTGGGACTCGAACCCAGTACCATCCGCTTCAAACGCCATCGCATTATCCACTCAGTATGCACATATGCCAATAACAAACTGATCAGTTGCAGTCTTAAACCTCAATGTGAAGATAAAAGCCAAACAATACTAAGTGAAGGGCTAGATATTTGTGATGAAAGCAATTATCATAATATGAATGATCATTCTGATAAACTGTATAAGTAAATTTATACAAACTGATAATGGATTTCAGAGGTTAAACTAAAAACGAAAATGAGAAAATGATATGTATTACAGTTAGTTATAAATGTAAATTTTTCTTGAAGTTTAACTAACTTGATTTATGAAGAGCAATTTTGTACCAAACATAAAGTTCCATAATGTTTGAACTATTCGACATAATTGTACATTTAAAATACGATATAATTTTAATTGATTAAGGGATTAATTTTTTTATTTGATTTAGACATTAGTTTTTCCAGGACATAATGAACTCTTATTGGATATTATAAATAGTAAAGGAATATCAATATTTCACGTAAACACATTTACTGTTTCTGTTTGAATTCATTCATATTTCTAGCAGAAATTCCCTCAAAAGATTCTACATGGTAACATATACAATAATATTAAACAAATTTCTATGAGTAAAGTTTAGTAAATTTATAGAATTTTAAGTTTTCAGCTCAAATTATTCGTATAGTTATGAGCCATTAAAAAGTAAATTACTGAATTCAGTTAAAAACTATAATTAGTGTGGGTATTTCTTTTAAATAATCTAATCTACCATAATTCATACTTGAACTAAAGACCATACTAATAATCGGTTTGTCTGTGTACATTATAGTATAGGATCAAAAATTTATTTAAAAGAAAACTATTATATCATTGCAATGCATTGACTTTAACTTATTTCTAGAGAACATTCCTTATTTTTTTTTAGAAATTTGGTTTTTTAAATTAACTTTGTATATGCATCATATGTGTCTAATGTTTAAGATGAATATCAAATATTCATTAATAATTTATAAAGTCATTAAGCGTGAATATCTAATGATAAACTTATTTTTAATTAAGAGAAATGGAGACATTTAATAAATATTAGATAGAATCATTACATTACTAGATGATATAACTAACTTGCTCATTTTGCATTTAAATAATTCATTATTTACTTTGGCAATAACGTTTTGTTTTGTTTCTTTATCTCTCTCTCTCTTTCCGTCATTCACAATCTACATACTACTGATATTCAATTATATTTCTGTAAAGATGCCAAAGATTTGATCACTTCACTTTTAGTTATTACACCGAAATCAAGATTAACAGCTCGTGAAACTTTAGCTCATCCATGGGTTTTTGGTTCTGGTTTACCGAATTTATCAGAAGAATTTGAAAAACGTCGATTAGATTATCGAAATGAATTAGAAAAAAAGCATAATGAATTTAAACAATCAATAAATGAAAAAAATCCAATTGATTTATTTGATAAAAATAATACTAATAAAGATCATATTAATCAAAATGTTAAACTTAACGATATAAAGAAATTAGAATTGCCAAAAATTACAAAAATCAAAGAATTACATAATTAGATTACGGAATCTATTTTCATAATCATAGAATTTTCATGCAATTGTTGATAATGGTGGAGTTTTTATTCTCTAAGTTACAAATCTTCTCCACCACTGTTGATCATGAATGATCTCAAAATGTTCTTATTTTTTGTTGTCTTTGATATTTTCATCTTTTAAGAATATTGAAAAGCAGCATTTATGATTATTATTAGTATTTTCGTTTATAATAATTAATGATTCTATACATTCATAATGAATAAAGGTTAGAATTAGAGTTCATTATAATAATTAACTAAAGTCTATCTTTTTAATTAAACAATAATGCTGTCAATGATTCCATATTTTTTTGTTGTATTGTATAATACCGTGTCTTTCATTAAAGAATATTATGATTTATGATTTTTTTTTAATTGTTAGGTAATAGAAAAACCAAAGATAAAATAACATTGTCTAAGTTATAAATAATAAAAAAAATAGAATAAAATCTTATTTTGTAAACAGTTTTGTTATAATTTTTAAGTACGGACAGCAACAGCAACAAAAACAACAACAACAACACCAACAACAAAAACTGTATGTACTTTAGAAATTTATATAGAATAAAGAGGAATATGATAGATAAAAATACATTATGAATAAAGAATATGATTCTTCTTTTACATTTCCCATAAACATCCCTCTTTCTATTTTATTTTATTTTTTTTCATTATTTATTTTTAACTCTTTATTTGTTGTTGTTGCTGCTTTATTGTTATTATTATTATTGATTAATTAATTAATTAATCAATTATTTTTTAAGTGTTTATCACCACCATCAATTAGTCTGCGTGTAAATGTTTCCGTTTATTATAATAATTGATATAAACTTATTCTTTTTATATATAGTTAATTGAATGAATCTTTTTTATTTCATTTTGTTACTTTTGAATTAATCTATATTATGACAATGAGATATACATAGACAATCTGATTCAATTTAGTTATTGAATTTAATGACACAGTAATGGTTGTTACTTTTTATTTTCTTCATAAACTGATCAGTTGTTTCTTTACTCATATTGATTTTTTGGTTTTCATATTTGATTTAGAATTGGAGGAAAGTATTTTGTAAAATCAAAAAGTCAATTATAATGCACCATAATCTAGATTATTAACACAAAATGACAAATATAACTATTGTAAAGTGATAGGTTAGGTAAAAGTTAAGTAATCAAATTATTGTAATTATTACTATTATTATGGAAATATACTTGTAGATTTGGAAAAACTGTAAGTCTTCTTTTTTTAAAAATCAATAATCTAATGTCTCTAATGATTGAAGCTTGTTGCTATATACGTTTCAGGATTGAATCATAGTTATGTTCAATAGTTAGTTCTGCCAACTAAGTTGAATTATAAGCGTAATAATCTCCACAACCCCCATACTAGTAAGCAACATGTGCTCACTAGTGACTAGCTTCATGAGGGAATTCTCGGAGTTCTAGTGAGGAGCCGTGATCAGTGGAGCTAATCCATGTCGGGTAGAGACAGGTATCTACCTCGGTACAATGGAAGTTGGTCGAGCAATTTCGTGGATTAGTTGATGTTAGACACTATCACCATTGGATGCCGGCTCAGTGGTCCAGTTGGTTAAGCGTTCGCGCGCGAGACCGAAGGCCCTGGGTTCGAATCCTGCGAGCGGGATCGTGGATGCGCACTGCTGAGGAGTCCAACAATAGGACGAAACGGCCGTCCAGTGCTCCCAGGTTTCCAAAGGTGGTGGTCTAACATCAATCGGTTCATGATCTCAATCAAAAACGTAATAATCTTCACAACCCCCATACTAGTGAATTATAAACTATCAAATACTTTAAAAGTGTGACTCCAGACAGAATACAGGAATATATGTTTCACTAACAAAATACATCAAATTAAACAATGAAAATTTTCTGTTCAAAGCCATTAAGTAGTTTTAAGAGATTGAATATATTTGTGTCAAATCTTACATCTGAAAATAAGAACATAAAAAGTAGTATGAATATTTTCAATTGCACTTTATTTCAGATGTTCGATTTGTATAACTTTTGTGATAGCTAACCATTATTCGTACTAAAAGTTTCAGTAACTAAGCACTTTTGAGTAATTCGAGAAGCCGAATTGTATGTTTGTGGCATATATATATAAACCATAAATGCAAGTCATATGAACACATTTTTATCCATTGTATAACTTAGATGGAGTTATTTCACTGGTTAAGTAGTTTATTCTCTTGACCAGTCAAAGCTAATTGATTCATCAATGTTTTTGATTTCATGTGATAGTTTTAAAAGTCTTTTTATCTTCTTATCATTTGATGAAACACAAGTTACTTTGAATTAGCAGTCGTTATTTACGACCAATATGCAATAGGTAGTACATCCTGTGTGTAGTGCACAAATTAACATATTTTGTCATTCACCTGTACTTTACTTTAATGAAGATACCTTCTCGTATGCAAGTATCGGTTTAGAAAATGATGGGAAAATGAATCTCATTCAACCTTGGTACTTAAGTGATGATTCTTTTTCGGCTTGGTTTGCATGTATGTATTAAATAAGGTTGTATTGTTACATATGAGGTAAGTTCAAAGGAATATCATAAGAACGTTTTTATGCTAACACAAAACGCGATGGATAATGCATGATTCAAACATGCTTTTGACAATCTACAAAAGAAATAGATTCAATTCATTTTAACCTAACACCTTTATCGAACCTGTAAATTTTATCCTTTGAATCAAGGGTAAAGTAGGTGTTTTTTGTTTATAAATTATTCAGTCGAGTTTTTAGAAATAAAATATAGCAATACACAACTTGTGAAGGGGAAGAGGAAATAACATTACAATCTCAAACTGTAATTGTCCATATTGAAATTTCTGGCTGTAATCTATGAATTATTAAAAAAAAAATAATCAAACGATTGTTATTTACTTATATATAATAAACAATCTAACAATGAAACAAACTAAAAAGTCTTATTGATAAATTATCACGTAAAACCATGTTAAAGCTGCGGACTCTAATATTTTAAAGGATTTATGATAAATAATCAGGGAAAAATATCATAAAGTGTTTCGAGACTTTAAGTACAAAAGAGACGATTGTATAATGATCCAAAATTGAAAGAAGAATGGGTAGATGAAATATGAGAGACAAATATAAATTTGAATGATATAAATGAATAAACAGAAGACGTGAAGGTGATAATAACAACTCAATAATAATAGTGAAAAAATATTAGAAGGTAACTAATCACTGTATATAAAGGATATTGATGATAATCAACAAATATACTTGAATTGGTGTTAGGGTTATCCAAAGATGAAACTATTGCACATGATACTTTTGAGCGCAAAGTTCAGGCCTGAACTACTCCAACAGTTCAAAAGAAGACCCTTACAAGTATATTGGATGTGAAGGAGTTATTAATGTAGATTCATAAAAGCAGCTTCAATGCCTATGTTAAAAATGTCCTACTCAAACAAGCTTCGTATTATATTCTTCAAGCGGCCTTCCGTTCATGGATGTGTGAATAATACTGTAGTGAAGAAACACTCACGTGGGAGAAACCAATCTATTGTTGAGTACAAAATTATAGAATGTTTTGGTAAAATGTGGAAAACATATAATAAATACTTCATTTGCACATCTTCCATCAATTATCTATTACAAACTTCATCATTCTTCCATTCCTATTGTTATTACAATAACTCTCTGTTTACATTCCTGTTCTCTTCAATTAAATAAATATTTTCAACCTTCTGATGTCAGGCATTCCACTTCTGATTAGTTTTATGTCTCATGACATAAATAGCATACATCACAATACTTTTTCATTCTTGGCTGAATTGATGCGAATCTATTTTTGTACTTTAGTTTAAACGCTAGATTACTAGGCGACCTTCTTTCGTTACTTGAAATCTTTGAACACTTTATTATCCAATCTCGTTCTGTTCTTTCATTGACGTATATATTCATATTCCTTAAGTCATTATTAATACCATTATATTGAATGAATTCTATTCTTTATTTGAAATTGTTGAATTTTCAGTTGTAATAACCCTTAACGAATTTCTGTCTTCTAAATTAACTGTAAGATAAAACTTTGATCTTTTTTCTTTGGTTATTATTATTGTTATTATTATTATTATTATTATTATTATTATTATTATTATTATTAGCTTTATTCAATATTATAATTTTGGTACAATATAGAATTCTCAGCGCAAAGTATTTCAACAAGTTTCCGTTTCTTTCTTCTTGGTCGGTCCTGGCGATAAATATTGAGGAATCGCCAGTTAGATGTTAGCACTTCAGTGAATGAACAACTGAATAATGTACATTCTTTTCGTTGTACATTGCCAGCAACCATATTGTCTCTTATTGAGTTTTCTGTAACTTTGACAACGAAAGGTTGTACACTTTTCAGAAACGCAGCAGAATAGGTTATGCGATTAATAAACATAATGATATATTAAAACAAACAACAATAGATAACTTGTTGAAATATCAAGATGGCAGGAACAGGTAGCCCAGATGCTCAAGCAGGCCGCCCTGACTAATATCATTATTGTTCTGGTGCCAACTTAAGTTTATTGAAAATGAGAAAATGAAATCGAAAAAAACTGTTTGCAATAAACACAGACAAAATAGAACTTTATGTTTGTAAATTGAAGTTTCATTCAAAAGGATACTTGCTACAAAACTTGTATTATCATGTTTTAATAGAAATCTGTTTACTAACTGTAGGGTTCAATCAATAATTAGAATTTAATGTATATCACTTATTTTGATCAAAGCATCAGTTTGGAAAGTGGTGTTACTGTCTATATTACTATTAAATATAGCATCCAATTGAGTGGCCTCAAAAATCCATATTGATTAACAATTGTGTTATATGGTTGGACGACTATTTTATTTGTGTTGGTCGAAAACAATCAAAAAACGAGGAAACAATATTCATCAATAATCAAACGTTTTTCATAGACAACTTAGCGATCCCATAGTAGAAACCTTAGAAACGTCTAACAAAACTATTATGAGTTTGAAGGTAGTGATATGTGAAGCATGTAATGAAAAGATGAAAAGAACGGAAACACATAATCAACATTTAACTGTTCAAAAAGCACCAAAGTGAAACGACTTATCACTAGATAATAGTTCTGATGAGATAAATTGAATTGGTTACTTAGTATTACCTTACTACGACGATACACACTACAAATAATTTAGAAATACACAAAATTGAAGCATACTACAGGACAACTGATACCCTCAAAATACTTTAGTTCGAATATAGAATAAGATTCTATTCACGTCAATAGAATTGTGCACACAGATTAGATCGTGTCACTTGCGGTGCGTTTTATATGGAAGAGTCATGCCATTTTCAGTGACCATCAAATCGATATTAAATACATTAATAATATCTAAAAAGGCTTTTTCAACAGTAAAAACGACGAGTAACTAAAGTATATATATATTCCGAAATTCTACAGCCCTTCATAGAAAGAAGGGATTACAATCCATTAAACGTGGACCATTTATTTAAGCGACCATACGTAATTATGTTTACATCTTACACCAGTAACACTAGATAACTCGATTTTACTTTCACATATTACAAAACAACGTTTTTCACAACCACTAGAATAAAGACAAATACACAAGCACGCCGCACAACAGTAACCTTGACTAGAGAGACATGATATTGACTTGGCCAGACCTACATTTTATTGTACAAAATATTTTACTTTGTTACTTTGTACTGTTTGAAGTCCAGTTAATTTAGTTCAATAATTTGTTTACTCTGCAAAAGCCGACTACACCAAGTTACAAAACGTCAGAAAATTAATTTTCTGCTCCTGGGCATTTAATAAATATATCATTAATTATATTATTAAAAAACCTGCCCACTGCTCAGCTTTTCTAAATTAGCAAGTCATACCATGGTAATAGTACCCATTTGCTTATAATAGCTTAAGAAATTATAAATCGGTGGTTATATGAAGCATTTATGCAATTAGAAGGTAATTTGTGCCTCCAAGTGACATCAACAGAAGAGACACTGAAAGCAGCTAAACACTCCTTAACTGACCTTCTATGGTTTTAAACTTACCTTAAGTTCTGAGGCCTCCTCCAAACCCACAGAAAACTGTATAAGGACTCTTAAGCATGAAAGTAGCTAGGAAACGTTTCTATCATAGAGTCAGAGTTCAGTTAGTTACGCTTTCAATTGCAATTAACATAT